CTTGGTCCTGTTTAGTTTCTTATCTACATTATTAATCTTCCTGACAACCCTACATCTAAAATAGCTCTTTTCGTTAATGACTTAACTTTTTACTCCTGTCTTGAGAAAAAGTTTTCTTTTTTTGATCGCTTAGAACAGGCAGCCCATCTTGAATCTGATCTCACTTTTGTAACAGATTGGGGGTCAAAAATTTTGGCTTTTAAATTTTAACTCCAACTAAAGTCAGTTATTTACTGCAAACAACTACCACAATACTGTCAGCATTCCTATATTAATAAATGGCAGCCCTCTCACTAAGACCTCTTTTTTACATCTTCTTAGATTATTGTTTACTACTGACCTTTTATGTAAGAAAAATATACAATCGATTGCTAAATTAGCATCCCTTTATCATGATCGTCATTTTCTTACATATGCACAGTGGGCCATGGTGTGCCAAAAATCAAAATTACTTTTATTCATTTTTTGTATAAAAAACTATTATTCAATGAATGTAACATATTGATTTAATTACATATTTACATATTGACATAATGAAACATATTGAACGAAATTATTGATTTACATAAAAATATAAGAATTGTTGATCAAAAAATGCGCCTTCAATAAAATTTTTTAATTTTAAGTTATCACCCTGAACAATATTTTTGGCGGTCAAGCGCTTTTTTAAAAAAGTTAAAAAAAATTTTTTTTAAATATGTTTTGCCATTGAATGTTAGGCAATTTATATTACTACGAGTTTGAATTGTACTTTTAATACATATATTGGCTATCAATTGGCATTTCTGTTTATCGTCTTGAACGTATTTGACTCATTTTATGATCAATCAAAGATAGTGTGTTTAATGGTTGAAATAATTACGTTTATTTTTTGCTCATACAATGCTTATAATTTTTCGGCAATGTTTGGCCAGGGTCTTTATAGCTGATATTTACTGAAAAAAATATATTTAATGAGGCAAAAACGGTTTTGGTTGCAGATACTTGCAAGTGTAGAATAGGTAACTAAAACATTACACATGATTTTATACCGTGACAACTGTCAATAAAACATTTTTTTTTATGTTACTCTATATTATTGATTATACAATATATATATATATATATATATATATATATATATATATATATATATATATATATATATATATATATATATATATATATATATATATATATATATATATATATATATATATATATATATATGTATATATATATATATATATATATATATATATATGTATATATATATATATATATATATATATATATATATATATATATATATATATATATATATATATATATATATATATATATATATATATATATATATATATATATATATAAATAGGTTGACTTTTCTTTTTTTAGAATAAATAATAATATAACAATGAAGTACCATTATATATACAATTGCATTAGATCCAATAATATGTCTATACAAGATCCCACAATTTATGATCAATTAGTTGTCAAGTTAGACTTGGATGATTCTGAAATTATAAGAAACAAATTAATTGCATTCTTAAAGAACTTGAAGACTTGTTGGAATGATGTTAGCCGCAAAGCTGTAGCTTTTGAGAAAAAGTATGCTAATTGGTTGGATACTGACTTTATATCTTCTGCATATGTTCCACCTGCTACTCCAACGATTGTTACCACTCCTCTTGGAAGGCCTACTTTGATTTTTATGAGTCCTCTTTATAGAAAAGCTGAAAATGGATCAATATCTGCTAGCAAACTATTATTTGCAACTAAAGTCAAATTTGGAAAAGATAATCAGCCTAAAAAAGTTAAATTAGCAGAAAAATTGTTAGTGGATACTATATCCCCATCTTATATGTCTACTGATGAAGCTTTGGCCCTTATTTTAGATTGTAATTTAACAAAAGAATCTTATCAACTGATGAAAAACAAAGCTGATGAAAAGGAATGCAATCTCTACCCAGCATATAATAATGTTAGAATGGCAAAAGATCGATGCTATCCTAAAAATATATGTGTAACTAATTATACTGCTAGTGTTTCACTTCAAGATCTACCGGATCACACTACAACAAGACTTTTGGAGACACAGACTGGTGTTGTAAATGCAAATGAGTATAATAGAGTAATCTAATATACAAAGCTGGTTTTGATGGCTCAAGTGAGCATAGTATTTATAAACCAACATGTAATGATAATGAGTGTACTAGAAATCTGAAGAGTGAAGAATCTCTGTTTATTACATGCTTTTACCTTTAGAACTCTCACCTAATGATAAAAATATTATTCTTTGGAGAAACTCTAAACCATCATCTACTTTGTACTGTCAACCTTTGCGATTTAAATTAGTAGAGGAAACTGCAGACCTTCTTCGTATTGAGGAATTGAAATTAAAAAATGAGATCAAACAGCTAACTAAAACAAGCTATATTCTACTTAATGGTAAGCCTATTGATGTTGAACATAAAATTGAAATTACTATGATTGATGGCAAAGCCTATACTGCATTATCTGATGTAACTGACTCATCACACTGTTGCTCTTTTTGTGGTGTTATTCCTAAAGAAATAATTATATTGACAAGGTATATATAAAATATTGTATATGTAAACTAGTAGAAAATCACTAAACAAAATTTTTTTATTTAACACTGTTTTATCAATAAAGACTCATCAGAAATGCATCATTTCTGATGAGTCTTTATTGATGAAACACAGTGTTAAATGAAAAAATTTTGTAAAGCGATTTTCTAATTTAATTTATCATTGCTCTGTTCTTTTAAGAACATTATTACATGTTTGCTAGGTTTTACGTGTAAAACGTAAAACCTCGCTGTACTATGTACAGGTAGGTTTTACATGGAGTTCACAAAATGATAATTCATGCCCCCGGTGTCATTGATTACATGACATTACCAATTTGGCTCTTAAGTGAATAAGCTATAGAGGCTCGGAATAAAGATTTTAAAAAGTATTTTGAGCATTTTACATGCAAGTGTGACCGTATCAAATGTAATGAAGATTTATTTAAGCGGTTATTTTGTTCTAGTGATCCAGTCATTTCTTCACTAAGAACAATAGTTAGTACTAAGAAGAAGGTTTTGCCAGAAGGTGTTCTGCAACTGTTAAAAAATAGTGTTTAGTTGTTCTTTTTATGGAATTTTACAGGCTAATTTTTGGTTTTTTGCTTTAGTTATTATTAAAAATTAAATTTATGCATTGTTAATTAATTTAATTTTTGTTAAATTAATGTTAATTGTTAGTATTCTATAATTAACATAAATTAAAAAATTCCCACATACATTTATTTGGAACACCAGAGCATTAAAAATCCTATTTTTTTAATAATTTGCAGTAAATAAGTCAAGAATTTATATAAAATTGGCTGTCACTATAAAAATATATAAGATGTTGCTATGCATAATAAGGTATCCATAGCAACCAAACTAATTATCATAATATAAAACGCATACCTCGTATTGGTACTCTTACCAAATTTAGTGTGTATGACACACAAAAACAACTACAAGTAGATTTATGCTACGCCAAAATAAGTATCCATAGCAACCAAATAATTAAAAAAAACACCTTTATAAAAAGCGCAGACCTTACACTGGTGCTCATGCAAAATTTAGTGTATATAGCACACATAATAAATCTGCAACTAAAAAAAGTAGATTGTTGCTATGCAAAAAAATAGGTATAGCAACTAAATAAAAAATAACACCTTCATAAGAAGCTCCAACCTTATATTGGCACTCATGCCAAATATAGTGAATGTAGCACTAATATTAAATTAGTTATTAATTTTGTTTCAAAATAGGCCATTCTGGCCCACTGTGCCTTGATTCCATTCTCTTCCTTTATATTATATTTATTATTTTTATATTACGAATTTCCCATTGTCGTAAAGTTGCATCTCTTTCTCCTTTCTACAAATTCTATCATGGTCGCTGCTCAAAAGAGTTATTATTTCTAGTTCCATAAACAAAAACTCATTCTCACTTGATTCCTTATTCAGCTAAGTCTCATTCATCATTTTTTGATGATGAATGAGACTTAGCTGAATGACGAGTCAAGTGAGAATGAATGTTAAATCTAATTAAATATAATAAATGTAAATAAATAATGTTTGTGTCAATATACACTAAAACCAATAAAGATAAAATTGAGGAAGATAAATTTATCTTAGAAGTTTTTATACAGGACTGCTTCAACTGTGTTAACCTTTAAGCATACCAAATTAAAAATTATTTCAGTGTTAATTGTCCTAATTAAATCAGGAATTAAAATATGAATTGCCATTAAAGTTAAATTTAGTAGCTTAAACAATATATTTTTGAATATTTCCCTAAAAAAAAAATAGACCTTTGCGTTTTTTTTTTTTTCCAAAAAAACCTCTCTCTATCTCTTTATATATATATATATATATATATATATATATATATATATATATATATATATATATATATATATATATATATATATATATATATATATATATACATATACATATACATATACATATATATATATACATACATATATATATATATATATATATATATATATATATATATATACATATATATATATATATATACATATAAATATATATAAAGAGAGAGAGAGCGAGCGAGAGAGTATATAATTAAATATATAATTAATAGATATATCATGTTTGGTATATATAATTATTTCATATTTTAATTTCTGGGTTTTCTTTTTTTTATTTATGAAAGTATGGTGTGTTTTTTTTCATTTTTTTTTTTTAATTCAAAAGTTTTCATTTGACTTAATTCTTTTTTTTTTTTGAGCAAAAGTTCATTTATGATATAAAAAATCAATTTTTTAAAAAATATATATTTATTTATTTTATTATGAAATATTGTTGGATGTAACATATATATTTATTTTATTATGAAATATTGTTGGTTGTTACATATATTCTCATTAGTTTAAGCAGTTAAAGTTTAAGTTAAAAAGTAATTTATAGTAATTTCCCATTGTTTTTGCCATTTAAATGTTTTTAGATATTTTTTAATTAAGATGAAAAGAAATTCAATAAGTGATTGGAGCTGATTCTAGATGGGATTAAAATGTCGTACATATCTACTAGCTATTTCTGTTATGTGTATAGTCATTGTATTGTGGTTTTGGATATATTCTACTGGTACTATAACAAATTGCAATACAAAACTTACAGCAAAGTATGATGAGCATTCAAATTTTGAAGATAGTTTAATAATTTTATACAATCGTGTGCCGAAAACTGGAAGTACAAGTTTTATGAGTCTACTTTATGCATTACACAGTGTAAATAAATTTAGTGTTGCATTTGTTAATGTTTCTTGGATATCGCATCGGTTTTTGTTTTTAGATCAATACAGATTTGCATTAAATGTCACATCATGGAATATTCGTAAACCTGCTATATACTCTGGTCATTTTCCTTTTCTTGATTTTACTAAATTAGGTATGCATCAACCTTTATATATCAATATTGTAAGAAAACCGCTTGATCGAGCAGTTTCTCATTACTATTTTATTAGGTATGGAGATACATTTCTTCCAAATAAAAAACGTTTGCGGCATGGAGATGAGACATCGTTTGATGATTGTGTTAAACTGAACAGTAGTGAATGCTCTGAAGCAAAATTATGGATGCAAATACCGTACTTCTGTGGTTCAGATGCTTTTTGTTGGGAGCCTGGTAGTGAGAAGGCTTTAATGCATGCAAAAATCAATCTGGAAAAACATTATTTACTTGTTGGTCTAATGGAAAAAATGGATAATTTTATTGAAATTCTTGAATCCATACTCCCAAGATTTTTCCATGGATCATTAAAATTATTTTTGAAAGATGGCCAAGTGCAGTTACGCAAAACTAAAATTAAGAAGTCTTTGTTACCACAAACTGTTGAACATTTTAAAAAGTCTAAAGTTTGGCAAATGGAAGAAAGTTTTTATCAGTTTGTGAAAAAACATTTTGATACCACATATCAAGAATTTATTCATTCTAGAACTGAAACACAATTTTCCTTCAGTAAACTTAAACCTGAATTTATTTAATTTTTTGCTTATATTTTTGTTTTAATTTTATTTAATAAGAATTTGTATGATTGTGTAATGGGTTATTGTATTTGTAAAAGTATGATTTTGTATAATGTTTATAAAAATATGATTTATGTCATTATATGTGAAATGTTTGTTAGAGTTGGTATAAAATTCTGTAATGCTTGTAAGAATCTATAAAACATTGTGTAATGCTTTTAACAGGTTGTATGATATTATTTGTAGGAATCTTTATGATTTTGTGTAATTTTTGTAAGAGTTTGTATGATATTATGTAATGGGTTGTTGTATCTCACATAATAAAATGAGACTGAATTCAAAAAACAATCTTTTAAAAAGACTTCTTCACACAGTGTCGCTGAACAAACTTTAGGTTGAAAAAAATTGTACAGAAAAACTGTTAACATATGTAATTTGCTTTGTCTGGCAACTCCAAAAATATATTCAAAAAAATTATAACATTCCGTCTTGATCAAGTATGGCATTTTACAAAAAAAAAGAGAACGTTTTTTTAGAGTAACTTGTAAATAAATTTGCGTATATTGAAAAACTTTAGGTGTTTATAACTTCATTATATGTTTATTTCAAATCATTTATTGAAAATGCTGTGTTTTATGCAATTTACTCATTTAAGTTTTCCTTGTATGTTAGCTAATATAACAAGATATTTCATAAATAATTTAAAATTCAACAAAGAACTCAAACACCTGCTTAAATAAAAAGCCAAACTATTCTCCATGTCACTCTAAAGCCAGACAAATATTATGCGCAATATGCTGCAGAAAATTGGTAACCTTACTTAGTCCTCTTTAAGTTCACATAATAAAGATTTTTTTATCTTGTAAATACAAGTTCAATGATCCAATCTTTGCATCTGGAATTTGCACAATATGTAAAACAGTTCTTAATCAGCATGCTCGCCTTTATTCTGCTCCACCAACTAGATGGATTCAAATTCATAGAATTGCTCTAACGGGTGTGGTCTAAGAGACAGTGACTAGAAGACAAGGGTTTTGTTTGTGTCTAATATGTTCAATTGCTAAAAGAAAAAGAGCCAACATAAAATTACATGTAGGAAGACCAAGGCAAGTTTTATTTATGTATATATGTATATTTTTTTCTAATTAAAATTAAATTTTATTGTAATAAAAACATATATTTTGGTTTATTACTTGGTAGGTGGTTAGTTAAAACCATCTGCATCTCAAAAGTTTGCTTTGAAGATTTGCAACCCATGTTTTGTTGAAGTCTCAAGTTTAAGAGGCACAGATGCAAGTATCAAATTTACGTATATTAACTTTAAGAAGCACTGTAAAGAAGAACATTGATAAAAAATTTGTAAAATATTTTGATTTGGCAAAAGAGACATCAGTAAATTAAACTTTATTAATTAAAATTGTTCCAAGCATAGAAAAATGTTACTTGAATTGTGAGCAAATAATCATATAAACTATCTGCTGATTTAAAGCTGCATTATATAATTCTGATACTACAAAGTCACATTAAAGTAAAATTTTTCATTTAAAAATTTTTTATATTATTGTTTATCATAATAATTTTTGATTTACATGTTAGATGCAAAACATGTAAATGTTTTGTAATAAGTTGTTTTTGTAATAAGAGTTCTGACATAAAAGATTTCTTGTTTGTATCTGGAGAAGTGAGAACTCTTGGATTAATCAAAGAAAACAATTTAGCTTGGATAGCAACTGGGAAAAAGGATTTTAACAACTGCAAGAATTTTCTGTTACTAGTTGGAGATGATTTAACCAAGATTCTAGACATTAGACATTTCAACATTCCAGAATTACACATTTTTATTATAAATGTTTTTAAAACCTTCCATAAAATTGCCATAATAATTAAAAGCATTATTTTATGAATATGAAATTGGTAAAGCTATACCTTTAAAACATTCTTCTGTATTTTAAGTTTTTGTTAAAATTATATATTAGTGTTATTAGGGCTGTATCAACATTATCTGGAATAAATTTGCTCACAGCTGGGGAGCTAACGAACAGAAACCTTTTTTGGAAAAAACTTAGTCTTTTTAAAGTAAAAAAATTGTAGAGAAGAATTTTTAGGTAAATATATTATTTGAAAATAAAATCTGACTTAAAAATTGTTTAATTAGACATATTTTTACTTTAAAATGACATGACCCATGTGTAAAAAGCTACTCAAGCTATCTAAAGAACTGAGAGAAAATTATTCAAATAATCTTCATAGGTTTTGTGATGGGTTGGATGCTCTTGATGTGGTATCTCAGTCAACATTTGGAAAGAATTTAGCAAATGATTTTAATACTGATATAAAAAATTTTGAAAAATTATTTTCGTGTTTTAAAACTATCAACTAAGTCAACAAAACTTTATATCTTGTTCAGCCATATAACATCATATTGCACGGAGAACGGTAATGCTCTTGGGCTCACCAGTGAGAAAACGGTAATGCTCTTGGGCTCACCAGTGAGAAAACAGTCTCTTCATTCCAAATTTTCAGTGATGTCAAGGTTTAGGTTACCCATAGACTATCATCACGATACAAAAAAAAACTTATGGGTGTTGTTTTGACATATAATAATGAAAGGATTTAACTGTACAATGATATATTATGAAACTGTTTAGATTCTTATGTATAACAATAGCTATTAATATTGTTAATTTGTTATAAAATTACTAATAATAATAACAAAACCTATGAATATAAATGCCAAATACTTGTTTTTTTAATTTTTGTAAAATGCCATATTTCATCAGGACGGAATTTTACAATTTTTTGGTATATATTTTGGACTTGCCAGACATTCAGTGACACTGCGTTCAGAGTCCCCCCCCTTCCCCTCTTTCCTTTTTTTTTTTTTTGAGGGTTATACTCGGCTAGTCAGGTATATGATATTTCAGTCAGGTAAATTTTAGTTTTGAAGACTTTTTTTTTAAAAAAGATAAGGTACCAGTCGGTACTTTTTAAAGATTCAAACCTCCGATCCCCCCTCATTTTATTCATAGAATCATCCCTAGACCTCATACATTATTATTGTTAAATAAAAAAAAATTTTTTTAATTTGTCAACCTTTATAAAAACTTTGATCAAAGTTTTATTTTTTTTAAAAAAATTTTTTTTTTTTAGTATTAAGTATTTTTAGGAGTTTAACATTTTATTTTGTTTCTTAATTTTTAAATTACTATATCTATTTTATTTTCTTGATAGTATCATTATAAATTAATCTAAAATACTATTTTCTAATGTTATGTTTATGCCAACAGTTTTGATATATTAACAATTTTTGATATCCTTACAGTTTTTGATAATATATTTATAATTGTATGATTTTTATTTTACTTAGCTTTTAATCAACAGAAATTTTTAATTATGTCTGATATGGATAAGCACAGAGTTTTTTTTGATATATCTATTGGTGGTGATAAAGGTAGTATCTTTAACTTTATGTGCTATTATATAATATCTTTTGTATAGTCTATTTTTATTTTAATAGACATGTCTGTTTTTTAATAAAACTTTTAAAAAAACAAGATTATCTTGGAGAAAATTATTTTAATAATTAAAACTACTATATAATGGTTAAAATAAAGAAATAACAATGTGTGTGTGTTTTAAGTTATTTTTAGATAAATATTTATATTTATAATTTATTAATTTGATTTGTTTTAAATATCTTGTTTTACTTTAAAATATATAAATAGTCAATCACTTTGTTGAGCAGTCTAATTTTTTATAGTCCATTATTATTGAAAAATTTTGCAATATAAATATCGTAATAGAATTGTTATTTCGAAAGTTACACATGGGAAAATGCACATTTTGTAACGCACTATACAAAAATATAAATAGATAAAATTCCGTAATAAAGCATTGCATTTCATTTCGTAAGAATACTTACAAAATAGTTCCTTGCGGAAGAAGCATTCCGGAATGTGCAGTTACGAAAATGACGTAAAAAATTTTATGTTACAATATATTTAAGATATTAACTGTTAACAGTTTAAATAATAAATAATAAAATTATAGAAAAATGTTGTTAAATGATTCTTCAATTGTTTATACAAATATTAAAAAATTTTATGTTACGTAAAAAATTTTATGTTACGATATATTTAAGATATTAACTGTTAACAGTTTAAATAATAAATAATAAAATTATAGAAAGATGTTGTTAAATGATTCTTCAATTGTTTATACAAATATATATATATAAATATATATATATATATATATATATATATATATATATATATATATACATATATATATAGCAAGACAGTTAAAGATTTCAAGATGTGCTGTTCAAAGTGCATTAAAGGAGGAGACAGGTAGGCGTTTAAATTGCAGCCATCCCCGCAAAACAACCAGTTGGGAGGATCGATTTATAAAAGCTGCAGTAGTACGTAGTCCGACTGCATCCTCTGCTCGCTTAGCTCAAGCACTTGGTGAGAAAGGGACAGTTATTAATTCTTGCACAGTAAGACGATGCCTAACTACAGATTTAAAACTATTTGGAAGACGACCAGCAAAAGAACCGTTATTGACAAAGGTACAATTGGCAAAAAGGATCAAGTTCTGTAAGGCCTTTCAAGGTAAATCTGTGGAATAGTGGGACACAATAATGCTTAGCGACGAAAGCACATTCCAGCAGGTCAGGGGATCAGGTTACAATTATGTAAGACGTCCAGCTGGACAGCGCATGAATCCAAAGTATGCGCTGAAAACAATTAAGCACCCCCTAAGTGTTATGGTTTGGGGGTGTATCTCCAGTCAAGGACTTGGGCCCCTTGAGCTTATGGATGGCACAACCAGACTGAATGCTCAGTCGTATATTGATATTTTGAAAAGAAAGTTAAAGGGCGTTATGACCTTGAACAACTGGCCATCAAGTTCACCGGACTTAAACGTAATAGAAAATTGCTGGAATTTAATGAAAAAGAAAGTTGCGGCACACCAACCCAAGTCAGTAGAGGACCTGAAATGTATTGTGAAGGACGTTTGGGTGAAGGAAATTACATATATACGGTAGTGTGCAAAAAATTAAGGCCACATGAAATTTCACAAGTTTTCTTCAACACAACAGAGAATAATTATATTTTTTAAAGTAAATGTTTGGCAACTTTATTAATTGATATAGCACAATGTGTAACGTACCAGTCCTAGTTATTTATCAGTCTATGCACTAATATTTGGTTGGAAAACCACGGTTTTTCAACACTGCATCAATACGTGCAGGCATGCTACGAACCAGAGTTTTACAATGTGTAACGTACCAGTCCTAGTTATTTATCAGTCTATGCACTAATATTTGGTTGGAAAACCACGGTTTTTCAACACTGCATCAATACGTGCAGGCATGCTACGAACCAGAGTTTTACAATAATGATTATTGTAAAACTCTGGTTCGTAGCATGCCTGCACGTATTGATGCAGTGTTGAAAAACCGTGGTTTTCCAACCAAATATTAGTGCATAGACTGATAAATAACTAGGACTGGTACGTTACACATTGTGCTATATCAATTAATAAAGTTGCCAAACATTTACTTTAAAAAATATAATTATTCTCTGTTGTGTTGAAGAAAACTTGTGAAATTTCATGTGGCCTTAATTTTTTGCACACTACCGTATATATGTATGTTTATATATATATATATATATATATATATATATATATATATATATATATATATATATATATATATATATATATATATATATATATATATATGTATATATATGTATATATATATATATATATATATATATATATATATATATATATATATATATATATATATATATATGTATGTATGTATGTATGTATATATATATGTAAATAATAGTATATCTACAGTAACATACCGTTAAGTTAGACTATCAATGAACAGATAAATAGTACGACTTAGGGAATGTCCGAGTTCTTGGTATTTATAGAACATTCAAGGAAAATTAAAAAACTTTTCAACTTAGTAAAAGGGACTGTTCATAATTGATGTCTGTGATTTTTCTTAATTTTTAAACCCCTTTCCTCTTTGTCAAACGCTGTCAACTTTTAACAAAAGCCCCCTTATATATGGTGTCTGATTTTGTTTCCCCCCCCCCTCCTTCAAGAAACATATAAGACATGTGTAAGCACCGTTAATTTTTTCTGGTTAACTTATACATTTATATCTCAGCATATTATACTATAGAACAGTTGATCCCCATCAAATAGTAAACAAACTATTGAAAATTTTATTCTATGTCTATAATATAAATTCAACCACTCATTGTCTTCCCATGAGTTGTTGAAGTGTTCTTCGATAATAATGACAAATGAATTTATGTGTTTGCTTTAAAGCACATTTTAAAATCAGCTGGGATCGAATAATGATTTTTAAATTTATATACAAATTGTTGATACTTGTAAACAGTTAGATTTTCAGTCAAATGGTAATACAATAGTAGAATGTTGGTAAATTTTTAATTTATATCATGTCTCTAGGAAACTTACATCGAATTCCCCACAAAGCAAATATACTATTTCTTTACCACATTGTTGATGTTACTATCTTTAAAATCTGCTCGAATTTTAATTTTAATTTCTTAAATGGGTATCATTTTGGTCTCAACTCCCCCTCCCCATTGTCAATTCATGTCAAACTTTTCAGTACCCCCTCCCCCTTATATTTACTGACATAATTTATAGATAGCCTTAAAGTCTTACTTATCCAGGGACCGAGATAACAGAATTCTACTGTATATACTTGTTGTTTTTTTTATAAGTATAATGCTTATAAGCTCAGATTTGGAAAAAAAATAAGCATATGTAAGCATACTCCTGAGTCTCGATAAACCATTTAAAAAATTTTATTTTTATTTGAATAAAAATTTTAAATATATATATTTCTAAATTTAAACCAACAAAAACTGAAGTTTAACATTAATTAATTGCATAATTACATTAATTAATTACATTAATTACATAATTACATTAAGTAATTACATAAAACATAATTAAAACAACATTAATTCAGCTACATTTAAACGAAAACAAAAATACAGAGCATAAGTCAACTTTTTATTTTTCTTATACTCATTAACCTTTAGCAACGCGCACAATTTTAGAAATGATTGAAATTGGTATATTTTTTTAGAAATATGTTTAAGCTTAAGCATATTTTTGAGCCTCTTTTTAATTTTTGCTTAAACATATTCGAACCTGTTTCAAAAATTTCATATGCTTTTAAAAAAAAATATGTATATTCCTCCACACATTCCTACTTTTACTATATGTAATGAGTTCAAAATAGTTTTATTTCGTATGTCAACTTGCAAAATGCTAAATTTCGGAAGTAGCATTTGCGAAATGAAAATCGGCAATTTTAAATATTTTGTAACATTCGGTACGAAAAAATGTAATTCCTCATTCTCAATCTCCTCACGAAAGAATGTTGTTTTTCCGGAATTGCACGAAATCCTCCAGTTAACAACCCTAATTTGTAATATGAACATTTTTATCAACTTTTTCGCCAAAAAGTCAGCTGAGACTTCTTGACCCGGTTTCCATCAGCTTTTTTCAAAAGAGCTCCTAAAGGAAGTTGTTTTGATGTAGTGCCAATCCAATTAGATGTAGCTTTCTTTTTAAAACCACTAAGCCACTTATTGCTTCAGTATTTGTAGTGGTATTATTAAAAAGAACAGCCCTTATACTTTCCAAACTGCTATATTCTTGTAAAACACCAAATGCTGCAATAGCAAGAACTAATGCAGTAGTACCAGTAGTTGTTCTATAGGTAAAATAATTTCGATTTTCTATCTTCATTGTAATTATAATTTCAGTTTCAATAAATTTTTTTGTTTCCTCTTGAGGTGAGTGCATAATTTTATTTTTTCAATTTGTCTGATCAAATTTGTCATCAAGACTAAGGCAAGTTAAATGATTTTTTTGTATTCTGACCATATCTTTACAGACTACTTCAAGAATTAATGCATCAGCTAATTCTACAATTTACTGCTAAAGCCTCATTATCAATTTACAAATATGTTGTCATGTCTTTTTTAATGGGGTTTATGGTGACAGTGTGTTTCTTAAATTTGTACCAATAATACAAATATAAAAAATACACTGACACCATACACCTTGAAAAACATTGTTTGAATACCAAGTAACTAATGTTCCATAATTTGTACATAAATTTTTTTTTATTTAGCTGTATTTAATTTACATTTTTCCATCAAAATGAGATTGATATCAACATCTTTGATAAGTATGGTCATCAATTATAAGATGTTTAATGTCATGTATAAAAATTTGCTGTTGTATAACAACTATGTTTTTTTGAGCAGTTCTAAAACAAATTTTGGAAATTCCAAAAAAAATATTTTATTTTCCAAAGGAACTATTTATTGTTTGCCATTCACTTCAATCCTAAAAATTTTTGAG